CCCCTATCTTTCGAGATTTCTGGCTCAAAAGACATCCGTTACAGGAAACTTTTTTGAATTTCCTACGCAACTAATATTCATTTTCAAACTTTTACCTCACATTCATTTGAATTTAAGATGCTGTTTTTTTCACTCTTTTGTGATTGTATGCGATGATAAATTTTTCTGGAGTGCAAGAACATGAGAATCCATCCATTAGGATGAATAAAGCGATTTTTGACTTGACTTGACTTATAAGGTGAGAGGAAGATTAGTTAAGGACAATCGTGGCAATAATGTGGAGACTTTACTCGCTTGGCTACTATTAACCTTACAGATCAGTACACCAGTTCCGTTACCATCTTTTCCTTACCTAATTGATTGCAAGCGATAAAACTATTGTGTAGTCCCCCACCCCACCCCACCTCACACACACACATTCAATCCCATCATGCAAGTTCTAGAACAAGAATTACTTACTCATCTTGAGGAACAGCATATTCACTTAGACGCAAAAGTTGTGATATCAGCCATTCCCGAAGTTTCTGCGCACCTTTCAGCAAATTGGTTGCCTCCTCTTTCGCTGCAACCGCTTTGCTCATTGCATCCATAAGCTTTTTGAATCGTGAATCCACTTCAGCCAGTTTAGCCCCAGTACGAAACAGTTCGGCAAACAGTTGCTTTTTCGGTATCGGGACACCCGCAGGACTGGATGTGAGGGAGACTGTGGAATCGAGAAATGATGATCGTTCCCCAGTACTGCGATCCTCATCATCCGTGGCCGATACTGTGCCCGTGGGACTAGCCGGTGCGGATAGGCGACAGGACGAATGGGATGGGATGCGTAAAGGTTGATGGTGTCGATGTGAGATTGGCCATAACAGCTGCATACCCATGTGTTCACCTGGTTTTGGAGTGTGTGTTCGATAGTAGTCGATCAGTTCTGAAACGAGACGAAACACTGGGGCTGGCGGGTCGACAACGCCAAAGTAATCACCCCGGTGATAGATCCGATTGAGTTTATTCTCACCGTGCCATCTGAAACAAGAAATAATTATGTGATCATTTGGACTCATTTGGACTACGACGATCATCATGTGCGATGCAAGACGTGTTTGAAATTGTAGATGATGAGAACAACTGAGCACCATCGGTTTGAAAATTCTATTTTTCTATCTATTAAAAACCGCAAGTTTTATCTAATGCCTCTCTGCACTGATCGTCAAAACGGAAGCCAAGAGACTACAGCCATTAAAGGCAATGAGGCAGTGTGAAGTTACTGGTGTTTCAAAATGAAAACTGATGAATTAAATTGCACGATAGCCCTTGCAATGGATGGGGCACGATGGGGCACCGATTTCCACTACTTACCGAACCGCCAATGTGAATGCACCGGCAGATCGAGAGGAAGCGTCTCGAACAAGAAAATATCCATCGGCAAGACCATCCATGATTTCACGAACCTCGGCCTGGGTCACATCACCCCAATACCACTCACGGGTGCACAGATCTCGTTTATTCTCAGCAATCGAGCGCGGAGTTGGTGGCGTTGTCGCCGTTGGTCCGACAACACCAGCCACGGTAACCACGGGTGAAGGCATTTCAACTGCTCCGTATTCTGCACCTAGTAAAATTGGAAAAGCACTGTGGATTACACCAAATAACAAACTAAACAGAGATCTCGTGTAGAAATAACCGATCAGAATCGTTCAAAACAGCATAGGCTAAGAAACAAACTCACCTCTAAAAACATCAAAGTCAAAGTTTTATTATGGGAATAGCTTACAAGCTGGTGCTTCTCTTGTCCCATTGGATGTTTACATAGATGAATCGTTGCACATCGAAAAAGGAGTCGCATAGAGATCCGAGAAGGAGATAGAGAATGTAGGCTACAGTGAATTTCCGTTTGCCTTTAATGTACGAATGTGAGATGTGCCAAGGTTATGTCGAGTCTCTGCTTGAAAGATTCAATAGTGGGTGCACAAACGACAGGAGATGGAAGGGCGTTCCAAGATCTGCATACTGTGACAGCAAACGAATGGCGCCGGCAATCCAGTCAACACTTGGGAATCATTAGTTTGAAACGGTGTCCCCTTAGGTATACATTGTTCGATGACATGAGAAGCGATCGACACGGATGGTTTGGGTTCTTCAGTATTTGATACCAAAAATCAAGTCTCCTCGAGTTCGGCGATACTGAGCGGAATATAGTCCCAATGATCGCAACAAAATCTAGTCGCCTCGAATTCGGCGGTACGGACCAGAATATAGTCCCAATGATCGCAATCTCTACTCGTATGTCAGGTAATGGAATCCCTTGACCATCTTAGTGGCCATCCTTTGTGGTCGCTCAAGCATCTTGCGATCACGCTGAAGCCATGGACTCCAAGCTTGAATGGCGTACTCTGTATAGGGTCGAATGTACGCTGAT